AGCAAAATTTTGAGTGCCGCTCACTGGCGCTGCTGTCGAGACGACTCCGGGCATGTGGTGGTGCCCATGGAGTCAAGGACCGCAATACACAAATATTGGTAATTTATCCGTGACTCTTACCTAGAATAAATGACATTTTCTGTGATTTTTACTTGTTTTTCCTTTATTGATATGATATTACCATGTATATTAATTACCGTATTATTGATGCGATATTACCGTATCCATCCATGAACATGCCATTGAGCATTTACAACAACCTTGTCCACTGCAAGCTTCATATCAGCAGCCTTAGAGCATTTTTTCTGTATTTGTAAGCTTACAGGATGGCTTGTAATTTCACACCATTTTAATTGGGTAAAGTGAATTTACTATAAAAAAGATTGTGAAGAACATACCTGAAACAGAAAGGAATGCTTTAGTGACAACCATCATATGTTTTGGAGAAATAAATCATAGTTTAGGTTAATTACTTTTCATTCTATGATGCCTGGTGCACAATTCTATATATGACATTCTATGCACAATTTGTGATGACCAATGATGCAATAATATTTTGATAAGTGAAATTTTTTTCACCGAGCAAGGTAAAGCTAATCAATATTCTTTGTTTTTAATCAATTTTTTTCTTAACTGGAGCCTATGCTAACTGAGGTTATACTGTAAATGCATTTTTGGGGGTTCCAAACAGCCCTGTTGGGGTGTCCCAAGTAGCCCCAACGTGCGGAAATGGCCGCAATTTTTTTGGGATTGAGGTATGTAAATTCCGCAAATAAAGTTTTCATGCCGACACTTGTCTGCCACTTTTTTTTAAGCAAAATTTTTCAATACGGCAAATATTTTTTTACTACAGACCTTAGCAGAAGTAACTTTTCAAAATATAGTTTTTTACCATTTTTTTCAGGAATTTTTCAAATCTAGTAAATGTAGTATTTTTTAACTTCCTTTACACTACACATATTAGGAAAAATGTTGATGTTTACGCCACTATATTTAGTTTTGCAATATTCCAATTAGTTTTGCTACTAAAACAGTTTTATGCCATGTCGGAGGACTGTCCCGAGTTACCCCGCCCATCCTGAGTAGCCCTCTTTGACAGTATCAAACACATTGATAAAAAATTCTAAAATGCCGGCAAATCTGCTAAATTTGAATCAATCCTGTGTATTTTTCCAATTTCTTTTGTAAAACTATAAATATGACCTTTTTTGACAACAAAAATTTTAAGAAATCACATGTGAAGCATTACGTTTTACCTAGGGTAAACGCGGTATATTCCGACACATTAAGGACGCATCGAGAAATGAAAAACTATAAAAAAAAAACCGTATGCGTTACGTAAGTTTGGTTGCCTTCACGTGACTCTCAAAACACTTCACTACGCCTCAGCAACGATGAAAGGTCACAAAATGTTGCCATATTTATTAAAAAGCCTTTAGAATGGAAACCTACCAAATCCCTATATTCCGTCACTGTGTGTGGCAATATTCGACACGTGGTTAGTCGTATTGCGTCAGCGCTTCAAATTTAACTGATACGTAATGCCGACATCAACGTATTCGAATTCCGTTTGCTGTGTGAGCTGTATTGGGATACAACACGGCTTTGAATTAAACGCAAATGTATGACGTCACCATTTCAACCATCAATGAACGCATGGAACTAAAACAAAGCTTAATATAAAGGAAAAACTAGAGAAGTGACGGAATTACCTACGATGTCGGAATATACCGCGTTTACCCTACATTGATGATGGAACTAAAACAAAGCTTAATATAAAGGAAAAACTAGAGAAGTGACGGAATTACCTACAATGTCGGAATATACCACATTTACCCTATACTTTTTTTAGATTCCTGTGCAATATTCCAAATAGGTCGCAAGTGAATTTGAAAAATTGCAGGTAAAAATAGGGATAGGGATAGGCCACCTTTTTTTTCACTGAAAAAATTAGAAAAAGGCCATAAGAATGGGTGAAATTGGCCAGATTTACAGGCCTCTTTGTCCAACTCACAGGTGGCTTCTGAAGCTTTGCCCAATTTTCCAGAAATCCCATTGCCTGTTGGCTGTTATGCAGTTATGGTAGGTTACTAGCCTACTAGGTCACACACTAGGTAGTGTCGTAGTGAAAGGCTGGTCACGTGGCAAGATGTTTGCACGAAGCTGCCAACCATCATGAGCTCTACTTTATTTGGGAGGAAGAAAAGGAGTGCTGCCAATAATTCACTCAATGCCTGTACCATGAAGGAGAGCTATTTATTCTATTATGTCTTCCTTGTTCATTAAGATTCGCTTCAGCCTCAGGAGTCAGGGTCCTGTGGATTTGAGTTTTCATGGCCCCAATGTCTTCAGCTTGGGCATGGATGAATTTTCATCTATTTATGATTTCAGTCACTTTCACTACCTATGTGAGGCTATGTCCAGAAATTAGAGTAAACTTTTCTGTCATTTCCCATTAAAACTCATAGTCTCATCTGACACTGACAGACTGACATGGTTTCATCAAGCTAATGAAGAAGTTTGTTTAATGTGAAAAATTTTAACCATCATTTCGAAAAAATTACCTTTTTAACTGAAAGTCTAAGAGATACCTAATCAAAGTATCTAACAGTTTGAAAAGAAAATATTTTTCACACATGAACTAGCCCTATGATGTTGAACTATGAAGTATGATGAAGGCTGCTTAAAGACATGACCTTCTGCTTCTGGCCCGTTTCCAATGACAATGAGAAATGCAGCATTGTCGCTAAACCTTGTTTCTTATGTAGAACGCTTAATTTAAATTTATTGTACGTTTGTTGTCGTCCTTGTGAAGTAATATTACATGGAACAAAATTAAAAACAACATTATATACTATATAAATAAGGACTCGCCTTTGTTCGCCGCTTTCACTTTCAGTACTTTGCTATAACTTTCAGTTTCAATTGCTTTTTGTATTTCAGCATACGCAGGAGCAATTCTACTTTCTTTTCCATTCTTGGCCATCTCTGTTTTAATGCATTAAAATTAAGGAGTCTGATGGGGATTTAGAACAAGATAATTTGACATTTAAGTTTAACCCTACTGGCAATAATTTAACTCTTAAACTTCTCCTTCTTCTTTTCCGGATGTCCACGCTGGGTGGACTTAAAGCCACAGGACAACTGCAAGGATGACCGTGTGGCCTGAGAGCTTCTGCAGTTTTGGACCTCTTGGCATGGAAGTCAATCCACTTTGTTCTTGCTTATAAAATGTCCGTGGACGTGATGGTTTGGCATGACAGCGTGTAAGAGAAAAGTTACACATAACATGAAAAAAATATCAGAAAGCAAGGGTCATTGCTTATAGAACTTGGCATAATAAATGATAGTTAAATTGGGTAAACTAATACAAGTAAGATAATTCGGGTGATGCATGTGTAAAATTGTAGAATAAGTCAAATTTATCACAAAAGAATGCTCTATCTGTATTTATTTCAACTGGTATCAGCCGCACATGCACTGCCCTTAAGCTCCCTAATCTTTGGCAAAGTAATTGAGCCATCCAAGACGAGTTTCATACGCCTAAATAATGGTAAGAACTGCAGTTCAATCCTCATATGACTGCATAATTTAGCATTATAATCGTACCGAGTGTAGGTACTGTTGGATCTAAGCATTTGATAAGAGAGTTAAATGAGGTCGAAATTAAATTAGTTAGCCATCTCGCAATACTTACCCACCTTTCGCGCCCAGAATGCACTCTTATTATGACAATATTTGTACCTGAGCTTGATCGTTCCTAGTATGCATTCATAGGCGCGTTCATTCTGTGAGAAACACGCGTGCAATTTCTTCTAACGTCGCTTTCGAAAAAAAATGAGCGATTTACCTATCGTGAATACCATGAGTGATATTACTTGCAACTGAACCTCACCTATGAGGGTCGCATTTGTTGTCCTGCTGTAATTTCTCTGCAGTTTCAGAGTGCAGTGATGCCACAGGCGAGTGGTTCGTTTATACCTAATAAATACCTTAACTTTCTCTAGAACCATTCTGATTTGCGGGTTACTAGACTTCTTTTCACTCAGCGATTTGAACCAAAACAATATAACTATCATTTATCTCTTCTTATTACCTCTTTGAATTTCCAGATGCAGTGAATTCACCTTTGCCAATTAATGCTCAATTTTGTTGTATTTAGAACGCCGCCGGAATTTGATACGAGACAGTCTGAGTTTGAATTTATTGGTAATGTTTGCTGAATAAGTGAGCGTAAATCTTTTATTACCTCAATTTAAGATGGTCATGTCTAAACGGCTTGTGCACATTTTGGTTGAAATCTTTGAAAAAATGTGTACATAGAATTTTCAATAAATTCTTAAATCAACGCATGACACATTATAAAATTGTGCATATTTTGCCTAGAAATTGGTAAATATCCGAAATAATTCGATCCCTATTCAATTACTCGATGCAGGTCGCCATACTTCAACCATCGTAATGACCTAGTTAAATATTTAGATTTTATAACATTAATCATGTAATTTATATAAACTTGCATCATAATAAACGCTATCCCGGCATCTGACGGCATCTTGACGGAATGCAGCAAAATGTGACACCGTCTCCCATTGCAGATTTTGTAGGTAATATTTAAAGGTAAATTATAACTGATGTGATCTCATTTATTAGCCATTGGGACAGTTGGCAGACCATGCAAATAGAAGTAGGTAAATAGTTTGCCCATTTCTCTGTCTCTTATACACATCTAGATGTGTATAAGAGACAGAAACAGAGTGATGTNCAGATGATCAATCAAAATTTGTGATTCGATGTCAGGAGATCATGTCATTTAGTGGAGCTGGCAAAGCTAATGCTTAGTTCAACAAATCAAGCATCAGTCATTTAAGATGTTAACTTCTTGCCTGTGCGAGTCAAGAAGTAATAATTAACTACCAAAAGCAAGATATTGGCAATAGCATCCAGGATAAGAGCCAAATGCACAGTGGTGATGGAGATACAAACCAATTTGAAGATACAATAATTACCCTCCAAAGGTCGCTTTTCAGAACAGGGTCAAAGGTCAGTGAACAACGGAATTACTAAAAAATTTACATATGTATATATACATACTAAGAAGATGGCACAGGAATGTTTGACACCACAGAAATGTTTGAGGAATAATGTCTTGACATTGCCCCCCCAAAAAAAAAGTCAGCATGCAGTCAGTCAATTCCTCTGAAATTGACAGATGTGTTTCAGGTTAATGAATTTCTGTTCTCTTAGGTTTGTCAGGCAATTAATGAATCTTAATGATATTATATTCTTATTATGTATATTATACTATTACATGAATAACTTAATAATATTACATATGATAATTAGATAGCTATTAACTTGCATGAAATTTTTACCAAATTCTCCTGCTATTTACAATTTCATCACATTGGAAGTCAAAATATTTAAATCTCATAAATTTTTCTGGTGATTGATTTCAAAAATATCTTTGAATATTGACTTGAAGTAGCAAATAAATAAAAGAAAAACAAGCATTAAAGTAGAGATGTTATTTACCACTCACCATGACAGGTTGATCAAACACAACATTGACAGTCATGCCATCACTGGTTCTCAGAGTCACTGACATCCCATTGGGATCAACCTGGAACAATGATATATTTTTTAAAATTTAGCAAAACAAATAATTGAAGATACAACCACTGCCTATAGGCAGGAATTTGTATTTTTAGGAATTGAGGCAAAAGTGTCACTGAAATTCTCAGATATTTTTCCTTTCCAGATTACGTANAGTCACGTGAAGCCAACAGAACTTGCGTAACGCATACGGTTTTTTTTATAGTTTTTCATTTCTCGATGCGTCCTTAAAGTGTCGGATTATACCGCGTTTACCCTAATTGTCAAATTAGTAACTTAAATGAATATAATTTATTTACTTACTCTAGAAATTTTTCCAAGAATGACAACACCTTTACCACTGAACCTGGGCAGCATTGAGCCATTCACACGGATTCTTGCTTCTGATGCAGACATGATTGATATGCTAATGAATCCAAACAGAATGATTTAAACAAGGAAAAAATAAATGGATAAGCAACAGTTATCAAAATGATTCTATTTTCAATGCTTCAGATAGTAAAAACAAAGTTCTATTCCTGGAAGTCAAAAAGAATATATTAGAGCATTGCTTATTATCCAGCCAAGATTTTAGATGAATGACAACAGCATGAACAATCTTACTATTTGTAGCAAGCTATAAGTTGTTAAGCAATAGTTTTTTGGTGCTATTTTTATTGCAAACATGGTATTTTTGTCAGTGAGCAGAGCTTTCCAACCATTTTCAGAGCTGCAAGATTCCTGCTAGACAGGGCTGGAAAAGTCCTATTTTTGTCTGAAATATCATGGCTCTAATATCATATAATTTCAGTAGGTATGAAATCTTGCGGCTCGAATGTCATAAATTTTTGTTTGATTGAAAAATCACGGTTTGCACTTTGCAAACATGTCACTTCATAAAATTTTCAACTTCCGCAATCTGCATTGCTTCACAGTTCCAGCCAAAATATCCTGCAGAAAAAACCTAAACATCGTAATGTAAACAAATCAACTAAACATTTTGTTGAAGATTGTGCGTCCTAGTTGTGGTCATGTCAAAGCAGTCAGACTGCATTAACACGTGCTCAACTTACAGTAAAAACAAATTTTATTGTTGTCATTTGACTGTTTTAGGGTAAAATTAGAGATTTGAGGTAACACGTGCATGGACTTTGTAAATAAATTTGCGCATTGTGAATGGCTTTTCATGGCCGAGATATGGAATTCACGGCTCGGTGAAATGGAATCATGGCTGGCAAATCCATAGAACCACAGCTTGAAAAATTCAGTCGCGTCTTGCCAAGTAGACATATTCCATACCTGCTGCTAGACATATTACCTTCTATATAATTGATAACACAAGTGCAAGATCAGGCTTCAAGATTTCAAACGAATAAAAAATTTGTCACTTTAGAGCAGAAATTATGTTTCATTTGTACATAGGTGAATGCCAATCCTGCATGGCCATCTGTGCAAATTAATCAGACTGAGAAAGTTTTGCACAAATGACATAAACCATTGCTTTCCAGGGTTGGTGATTTTTTTATTTTTTCATGATTTTTTTCCAGTTTCTTGTCTTTTTGAAATATTTTTTATGTTGCAATTAGCCTATTAACAATAACAGAACATGGATCAAAATGGATGGCTAAAAAGGGCAAAAAAGCCTTCAGTAATGGCCAAAGTGGTGTATTGGGTAATCGGACTATTGGGTAAACAATCGGACTATTGGGTAAACAATTCTTGATAAGTCTATTCATTAGCTTTGTAAAGTTTGTATGGAGCAAGGTAACATGTTAAATATTGACCATTTAACTGGCTTCAATATACAAAAACACTTCAGGAATGCTGATCTTCTAAACATTGAAGAGTCACATGACAGATAGATAGTTGATAGCACAGTGCACAACACTGTTGTTGTTTTGTCTGCTTCTTGAGGAAGTGGAGTCGTCCTCCATATGTGCACAACACTATAAAAAAACCGCCAAATTCATTCGGTCGCGGAAGGATCGTACATGCGGAATCATGGTTGTTAGCAAGTTGCTTGAAGATGAAAAAGTAACCAAAAGCAAAATACAACCATTGGAAGCTCCTGGCTTCAATGCATGCTGAAAAAATCTGAAGAAATTTCCTCGGGAAAGCCAACGACTAGGCTTGGCAAGATAAAATTTCTCAGCCACCACTTGAGCATGCTCAAGTTAAGTTTGTTGTTGTTGTTGTGGCCGGCTTGAAGGTGAAGAAGTAGCCGAAAGATGACCACTCATTACGCCTAAACTCAGCAAAAAGTTGCAGCGTTATGTGTCAATGATTCTTGAAAGTTCTATTAGCTGGGCTTCCGGTTTTGATCAAAGGTAAATCCAGGATGGTGCTCATGCACTACAGGGAAGTCAGACTATTTGTTAGTGTTGAATAGGTGATTGTTGCTCTTATTAGTGCATGTTGAATCTTTCTGCGGAAGTTGGCTCCGCCAAGAACAGTTAGATGGTGCACACCCATGGCTCGAGCAGTGGCGATCAACACCTGACGCTCCAGGCGGTACTGCATGCATGCCAGAAGAAAATGCTCCACGGTATCATCCACGTGAATCGTGATCCACCCCACAATGCAAGCACTTGGGAGTGTCAGCCATACCAGACCGATAAAGGTATGACCGAACACCAACAAGTTACGTTTGGTTACACATATAAATATACACTATTAAATACTTATTCATTTATGTGTAATTTCCACAGTTTTTATTCTCAAAGTTTTTTCAGCAGATGATGAGCTGGTATCCGAAACGTTTTCATGAAGACATATTCATGATATTGAATTTACTCGGCATTTTGAAGTTTTTCTTGCTTTAAATTCTTGGTGAACTTGTGATTTAAGTTGACTAATTATATACGTAGGTATTTATATATGACGGACTAAATACATCGGCATTGAGGACACAAGAAGAAAAAATTGATAATATTAGAACCAACACCAGGGGCCACGGCTATATACACTAAAAAAACTGCGTTGTAACACATCCATGCGACAACATTTCTTCTCGCTTCGAGTCACCGACATGTGGAACAGCCTCCCTGATAGCATCGTTGACGCTGCGAGTATGAACATCTTCAAAAACAGACTAGACGAAGCTATGCAGGAGCATATGTTCAGTCTTAAAATGCCTAGCAAATTACGGACCAGGCAATTAGTCCAGCAGCTATCTCAATCACTCGTCAGTTATGGAAAGATGGTTGCAGGGTGGCCCAGTGGTTAAAGTTCAGAGTACCAAGATTGGCGCAGAGAGGCGCTGGTTCGATCCCAGCTCTGTGCGCCAGTGTCTGGTCAGAATCGGCGAGGAGGCCGGGCGGTTAAGCACAGCAGAAGACATTAATTTTTGAGGAAGGAGAAAAGCATAGTTTAATGGCATAATTCAATGAAAAGTTCTGTCTAACCAATTGAATGTTTAAACATTGCCTCGATCTGACCCAACATAATATTTATCCTGACCAACATTAGCTTGTCCGATTTGATGAAATAATACTCGAGAAAGCGTATGGGCATTATCTTTATTCTCTTACTTGGTAAATAACAATCCAGACATGTTAATGGTTTATCATACACTTTGCAGTGATGTTGAATTCTTGTACTGATCTAACGATCATTTTGATTCAGATCATTTTCTACTACATCTGCCTGCGCAGTAAGGTTATACCTGCATAAGCCAGGTCGTAACCATGATGGTTGTGGTAACTACGCTGGTTGTGGTAACAACGATGGTTAATCTATGCCCGGTATGACGATGGTTTACAATGACAACAACGATGGTTATAAAACGTCCTCATTTGAGCCGTAACTGAGCCGAGGCAAGGGTTCGCAAGCCGTATTCAATTTCTAGATCAACTTTTTTCGAGAGGTTTTTTACATCATTTGTGGTTTTTAATAATGTTGATTTTTGCAATTTTTTACATCATTTAATTTGTGGTTTTTAATAATGATGATTTTTGTGATTTTTTACATCGTTTTTGGTTTTTCGTAAGATTTCTATTGTCTTTCCATGAGCGGTGTTTATGGTTCGAAATGTTTTCCATGCGATGGGAGATTATAATTTTCAATGACAATATGTCAGACCATGACAGTGAAGGTCTGACAGTCAGACCATGACAGTGAAGGTCTGACAGTCAGACCATGACAGTGAAGGTCTGACAGTCAGACCATGACAGTGAAGGTCTGACAGTCAGACCATGACAGTGAAGGTCTGAGTCAGACCTTGACAGTGAAGGTCTGACAGTCAGACCTTGACAGTGAAGGTCTGAGTCAGACCTTGACAGACCTGTATAAAGGACGCTACACGCGCACGACCATTAAGCCATCCACAGATATACATGTGAGCCATGCGCTCAATCTAAACAGCCGGACTATATTAAATGCGATGAAAATATAGTGCTTATTAATTTTAAATTCAGCATCAGAATGATACGGTATCGTAAGATTTATTTTTGAGTAAGATTTCTTCTTGGATCGGAACATTGAGTCCGATCAGAGGTAAGACTGGCAGTGTGGAACTTATGCCCTTGCAGGTACAATAACAGATTGCGACCTTAAATATGCGCTAAGAGATTCAATTAAAAATAAATATTCATTGCCGTTTCGCTCTCGTTTCATAATAAAATCCTGATGGAAAGAGGTACGATTGAGCATTTCGAAACGTGACTTTCGGGGCCATGAACAATTTTTAGTTGGGTACTCTCCATGTTTACTACCACAAATATACCTAAATATTAACATGCGATAAGCTAGTAAAGATTTGAAATAGTCGCCTTAATGCCTGTATTAACACAAGATAGCGTGCCACAGCAGCGGTGGGTGCCACAGCAGCAGTGGACGTCACAGCAAACGTATTAACGACGATAGTCCTAAACTAATGACGATCGCAAACGTCGATTTTAACGATGATAGTTGTAAACTCCGATGGTGTGTGTACTATACTCTGGGTAGTCATGGTTATAGCCTTGCCACTTGACAGGAACAATAAAAGATACAAGATAATAAATAATAAAGATGGCAATAAAAGATACAAGATAATTAATAATAAAGATGACAATAAAAGATACAAGATAATTAGTAAGAAATGTATTGACTTCTGTACAGCCCCCGGGGTGAGGGGAAGGCAGGAGGAGCAAGAGTGGCGCGGCTCGAACACTCAACCGCAACAAACATGTTATATCACTCAGATAAATAAATGGGCAACATTGTCCAAATGTTGACACGCTTTCTTACCCGCCTGCGCGCAGAGACTGGATCAATGATCTACGAAAATTACGTAAACGGCCTTTTGCTGGGGCAAAATGGGTCAGGGTGATAAATAAAGGCCAGCAGTGCATCGCCATTTGGACAAAGTCTCTCTTATTTCTCTGAGTGTATGAATGAAAATAACAGTTCTGTAAAATTAATTCACTTATGCCTGAAACTATACAGCTACATCAAGATATTCGTTGAGACATTAAAGCTTCAGATGAAGAAGAGAACACTTCTAAGTTAAAGCGATGACAAAATTAAATGGATTAAAAATTAAATGGACATGGATTAAAAATCCATGAACAAAAACTATAACGCTCTTCAGCCAAGAACAATTAACCTTTAATTAACCTGGAGCTCTTGAATATAAATTAACAATTAACCTTTAATTAACCTTTAATTAACCTGGGGCTCTTGAATGAATATAAATTAATTGTCAAGAGGATATCCGTACGTAACATAAAATAATTTATTCCTATAAAGTAATTAAATCTAACAAACCAGTTAATTGTATGTTAGCAATGCATTATTAAGCTGCCTATTTTACACGAGTGATATTAATTGTAAGACTTCAAGTAAATAATTTTACAAGTTTTTATGAAGAAAAATAGAATAGAATAGAATAAAAATATTTCATATTATAAAGTTAAAACAATGATGGAAAATAGTCCATAACCTTGAATTGTTTTGAAGAATTATAATTCAGAGCTAAAGTATAGCGTGTGTATAACTCAGAGCTAAAGTTTCTGTATGGACAAGCCTGAATTAAAGTTCATCATATACAAGCGATCTGAATACTCTTTAAAAAATGATAAGAGATCAACACGAAGGGTTCAGCGTGTAGAAATTGCGTACACGAAAAAACCGCGTGTCAAGAAAAATATAATGAGAAGCTCTAAGCCCGATTGTGATAAAAAAATTGTGAAATTTTTTATCAAAAAATGAAGATAGAAAATCAGTACGTTCGAGTGTTACAATATGTAAAGTAACATTGCAATCGATGCCTAAAATGTAAATAAAGGAAAATGTAAATAAAGGTTTTGTTTAACTGGCGTTGATAAAATGAAGCAAGAAATACAGAATTCATACATGGAAATATTGCAGCGGGTTGGAAGGGGGAACAAGTGTTAACAAGATGGGGGACATTAACATTAATCGGAAATAATCTCATTAATTCTAGTTACCCACACCGCTTGTATTTTAAAAGCGATTTGAAATTATCTATAAATATATACTTCATGATGCATACACTCAGGAAATGAAGACAGTTTGTCCAAATAGCGAAGCACTTCTTGCCATCGTGTGAGTCATCCTGACACAGTTTTGGCCGTCAAAAGGGCGTATGAGAGCAACGTGCAGACAGTGTGTCACTACTGGGACAACTTGACACATTCATTGCTGTGAGTGTATGGTATACACGACAAGGCTTCAGCTGGACAGCGCTACTGTTATCAGTGATAACATGTGTGTGAGCCATGAAACTTATCACTGATAACATGTGTGTGACCATGAAACTGTTATCACTGAAAACATGTGTGTGAGCCATGAAACTGTTATCACTGATAACATGTGTGTGAGCCATGAAACTTATCACTGATAACATGTGTGACCATAAAACTGTTATCACTGATAACATGTATGTGACCCATGAAGCTGTTATCACTGATAACATGTGTGACAATAAAACTGTTATCACTGATAACATGTGTGTGAGCCATGTAACTGTTATCACTGATATACATACATGTGACCATGCATGAAACTGTTATCACTGCTTACATGTATGTGACCATGAAACTGTTATCACTGATAACATGTGTGTGACCCATTAAACTGTTATCACTGATAACAGTGAAAGATAACATTCCTGATGGTGGTCTCGCAGCACCAAGATGCCCGCCATTATTTTCAATAGGGTACAAACATTCTAATACAACAGCTAATTATAAAAAATTATTGATCGTACGATACAATCAATTATCAATTGTACGCCAAACCATGGTCGAATTAATATATTATATTGTATTAATTCAACCATGCGCCAAACTACCAGTCACAAGGATAAAAAAATATTAAGTTACAGCTCAAGAATATCTAAGAACATCAAGTTGCTCTCGCAAGTTCCTGAGCAACTTGTAAGAATTAAACTTTATATAAAACTGGAGTGAATCTCAAACTCCGAGCCATGGAAGCACAAGGAAGTTACAAGAATTATTGACGATAGGTTAATAATTGTAACGATCATTCGGGACTTCGTACACATTTTTCACGATTATTGAACAACAGAAATCTGGATTGAAGACTCCAAAGAAGCTTGCGTTTGACATCAAAGGCGCGATGAGTTTACACATAACATCAATATCTTATGTCTTAACAATACTCGAGATTCCTGTAACAAATGTTACTAATACGGAGATACGGCGTTACGATACAACAGGATAAGCTCGAATTATTATTTCCTATAGCGATTATGAACAAAATTGTAAAAAAACTGTTATTATTAATAGTTATATTGTCAACAGCTGCTTGCCTTTGTTATGTCGTCAACAGCTGCTTGCCTTTGTTATGTCGTCAACAGCTGCTTGCCTTTGACTTTAAAAAATACTCAAACAAGGACCACGTCAATGGCAGATTTTGTCTTTAAATACACCGAATATTAATAGCAATAATCATCAACTATAACACCATCATTAGTAGTTTCAATATAGTGAAAGAATTCATGACAATAGTGAAGGGGAAGAGAGAAATGAATTTTTGCCGGCAAATTACTTCATGAATTTTCAATTACTCGATTCCCGAATACCGTGAGCTATTCGGTACACTGTTTAATTAAGCATATAACATACAGTATTATTTAATATAAAGACACGCTAGTTTGTTGTTAATAAAGGTTTAGATCTTCACATAATTCTAGTACGAATTAGTTAAGATCGGGTTCACTACCTCAACCTCCACCTCGAACATCACTAGAACTTCAAAAAACATTCCATTTAAACTATAAAAAATATTAAAACATAAAATTCCAGAGAAGAAAACATTTGTCCAAAGTTAAGAAGTTTTCGATAGCGTCTAGCCGCCGTAGATGCAGCACAACAAATTACAATTAGCCAGTCATAAACTTTACACAATTATAATGACATATTTCCCAAACCATTGCAATTTGTCAATTATAATATTCCGTTACCATTACAATGCACCAATTATAAGCTGCCCCATCATCCACTGCCATCAAAATGCATTAAATACTAACTTTCCAAAATTATTGTGTAGGCTTACTATATTACAATGAATTAATGATATATTAAAAAACGGTTAACAAAAGCTTTAACTTTAGAGACCTTTAGGGACCGGCCACTTGGCCCCTAGAGACCTTTACGGACCGGCCACTTGAACCTTACGGACCGGCCACACAATAGTCATTTTAATTATTACTTTATTTAGGTGATGATTATTAACTGCAACAAACCTCCTTCCCAGCGGCACTTAGACTGTTACTTGTATCGACAAGATCATTAAGAAAAATGTAAGGTTCATGTTGTCTAAACAGAGACACACTTTCTTGTCCACAGCGCGACCAGATCGCGGCCGTATCACTGATACGCTCATGCGTCGTGTCCACATTGGTCCGCTTGACCCAGACATGGGACAGAAGGTGTGTTGCTATTTGGACAAAGTTTCCCTAATTCTTTTGAGTGCAGAGATAAGATAATTTAAATCATTCAAAGAAGTAAAGAAAATAGACACTCCGCTGACCCTAAGACGCGCTAGGGCAGAAGTGAACACGTTACGAATAATACTTTATAACTCAGATACTTACTTCGCTACAAGGGAGCCCTTGGTCACATTCTAAGGTTACTAGTACACTAGTGGTGCACTAATAGTACACTAGTCGTACACAGGAAGTGCACTAGTATTTAAATAACCCTCTACCGCCTGACACGAGTAACCGGAGCAATATTGTCACACGCCTACTTCCCAAAAAGGATACGTTCTAGTGAGCGCAAAATGACTTGCACTGATGGTTGCCGCCACGTACGACGACTTTAAAATGTTCTCTGTTGCGTACAAACGTCCTCAGGTTGCTACACTCAATAGTTTACGTATAATTTAACTTGAAAGTTATGTTCCCGGAGAGTGACATACGGCGGTAGAGGGTTAAGATACCAGAACGTTTAATTGCTGAAGTGCAAACAAAGGCAATCTCCGCAGTTAACTTAAATAAACAATCCTGGCACTAGCACAGCACTGCCACAGCACTAGCACAGCACTAGCACAGCACTGCCACAACACTGCCACAGCACTGCCACAACACTGCCACAGCACTGCCACAGCACTTTCACAGCACTTTCACTGCACTGCCACAGCACTAGCACAGCACTGCCACAGCACTGCCACAGCACTAGCACAGCACTGCCACAGCACTGCCACAGCACTGCCACAGCACTGCCACAGCACTTGCACTGCACTAGCATGTTGCTGCAGACTTAGAGCTGCACGGTCTGGTGTAGAGGCAGTGCAGCAGTGCAGACTTACAGCTGCACGGTCTGGTGTAGAGGCAGTGCAGGGTTGGGTCTGCACGGTGCAGAAGCAGAGGTTGCGCTCCCCACCACCTCCAGCCACCGCGAGTACGTGTGCTCTGACTCCGCTCTGCACGTCACGTATACGTGTTGACATGACATGCTATATGTTGACATGCTATATTACGTGTCAGGTGATGAAATGACATGTCGTAATATAGCGTGACATGATGTGACATAAATTTTTATAAAATAAATGAACAATTTTTATCAAATTTTTATAAAATAAATGAACAATTTTTATCCACCGTACAAACGCGGGAATTTCTATACAGCAAATTTGCCACGGATATGAATGATCTGAATATTATGACCTATCATAAAACAATCTATGTTCTCACTCATAATATTCATATTGATCCATACATGTTTCTCACTGTTGTGTTCCACATTTCAGATAATGCATCATTTTCTTCGTTATTTGAGAACCATTTAAAGTGATAAAAAAATATTTATACATATATAAAATATCCCTGTATATTCATTATATTTTCAAGAAATTTCATTAACGTATTTCAGAAGTACAAATGTCACTTATAATATATAAATAATTAAAAAAATAAATCTTTACACATTTTGTTGACTATGAAGCAATGTTTAGAGATTATTAAGCAGTGTTAGATAGCACGGCGCACCAGGACGTTTTCTAGAGTAGGTAATATGAATTGGCAGATCATATATAAAAAACTAAATTAATAAATTTTCATAAATTTTGATTACTATAAAGTGTAATATTGAGGCTATTATAGATCAATATTTGCAGTAAAGCGCACCTGGAAAGTCTTGTAGAAGACGTAATAGCAATTAAAAAAGCGTAAATTAATACATTTCTGAACATTTTTATTATTGTAAAGCAACGTTGAAGCTATAATATATAACATTAGGAGACGAGGGCACCTGGAAAGTCTCGTAGAAGAAGAGTATATATTCATATAAAATGTATATTTTATACATTTTGATTACTGTAAAGTAATTTTAAGACTATTATAGATTAATATTATTATGAGACAAGGGCACCTGGAAAGTCTTACTACAATATATGAACATTAGGAGACAAGCGCACCTGGAAAGTCTTGTAGAAGAATTAATAGGAATTGCCAGTTTAAAAAATAATGAATTTTTACACATTTTGATTATTTTAATGTTATGACTATTTATTATAGATGAATATTTGCAGTAAAGCGTACCTGGAAAGTCTTGTAGAAGAAGAGGCAGAAGTTAGTGAAGACGACCCAGAGCTTCTGCCAGCCCATGCTGTTCTTGAACTTACGCAGCAGGTAACCGCTTAGCTGGTTCTGTATGGCAGGACACTTATTCATCACTTCTAACACAGTACACATAGAAGTACCAGTAAGAACTTCTGTGTAAGAAGTTCTTACACAGAAGTACCGGTAACGCACATGTGGAATGTTTAAGACCCTATGCACGGAAAGAAACGCATTCACAATCTCTTATACATATTAACTAGGTAATGCAGGAAATATATCAATAAACGAAGTAAGGCACATATAGAATATTTGAGACCCTATGTACGGAAAGAAAAGCAATCATAATTTGTTCCATATATTAAGAACACGGGAAGTTTATACAAAAAATACGAAGTAACGCACATATGCAATATTTAAGACCGTAAGTTAGCTGGTGAAAATCGTTCAGGTCATCAGGTCATGCTGATGTATCGCCCTCGTCGGCTACCAGGAGCCCACGAGAAATGATCACAACTTCCCAAGGTTCGAACCCACGACTAGCTTTTCTCCTCTCCATGCCGCTATAACATTATTCACACACACACACAATTTTCAAATACACACATCACATTTTTCACACAGATCACATTCTTCACACTGACATCACATTCTTCACACTGACATATAACAATATTCACACAAACATACGTATATAATATTTATAAGAGAACTCTAACAAGGTGTAAGTGAAGCAGAGACATGTCAGAGCAGACCTGAGCAGCTCTGACATAGTCAGAGTAGTGCACAGAAGTAGCTCTGTGCCAGCAGACGTGCACGCTGCTGTTGCTGGGCTGGAGGGCGGCGCCCCTGCGACCCCCCGCCCCGGGGGCGTCGTCCCCTGCTGCGCCGCTGGCGTCCAGCACCTCGTCGCTCGCGCCTACCACACAGCAATGTTGTTTATTGTATTACCATTTGTTTTATAATTAATTATTTGGCAATATTATTTATTTTATTACGGTTTTATTTGATAATTAATTATTTGGCAAAATTAATAATTTGATTATGATTTTGTTTAATAAATAAATTAATTATTTGACAATATTATTACCTTAATTAGGGTTTTGTTTAATAAAGAAATTAATAACTTGGAAATATTATTAATTTAATTAGGGATTTAAATATAAATTAGCTATTACACTTTAAACTATAAAACTATCAGACTGACAAATGGTCTGGTAGCCCCTAGTGGACTTGAAGAGGGAGAGGTAAGACATGGTCTGGTCTGGCAGACCCTACACTCACTGATAGACTTGAGGGAGAGGTAAGACATGGTCTGGTCTGGTCCGGTCTTGCACTGGTCTATGGCAGCGTTGAGGTCGTCCAGCCAGCGCTGCTTCTCCTGCGCGCTGCTAGCGGCCACCATCAGAGCCCTGGTGGCGGCCATCATTATGATGCATTAAATGGCCATCATTATGATGCATTAAATGGCCATCATTATGATGCATTAAATTAGTGATATAGTGCTTTATGGTGAACTATCATTGATTTATTTATTAATACGAAATCCCCAACCATCTTCCCCAGTGTCAGGCTAGTCCCCCAGTGTCGGGCTAGTCCCCCAGTGTCGGGCTAATTTAGAGTTCGAATTAATAAATTGTTGCAAAGAATGTGTTTTATTGTGACGCCAATTGATGTATGTAAGTTATGCGAATTATTATTGAAACAATAGCTTTTGTGTCGACGAATTTCACGTTTAATGTCACAGTTGATGCGAAATAAAGTAATTGGATGTGTGGAGAATTGATAAGAAAGTAAAGAAGGTAAATCAGTCGTTATTTCGAAGAAAGATTACAATTAAAAATAATCAGAAACAAGGTAAATTTAGCGAGGAATTATCCTTGGCTTCTTCTTAAGGGACTTTCTCGAGGAGACTTGAATCATCAAATTAAAAATTTGGTAAATAGTCAAGAAAATTCATGCTCACCCAAGTATTTTATAAGAATACAATTATAAAATACTTGGGTGTGATGTGAACTCAAAGATGGCGCTGAATTTTGCTAAGTCTTTATTGTTAAAAAGTAGGTTATAGATTATAAAAAATAGGTTCCAGATCAAAGAAAAAGTCAACGGTCTTCATAATGTCAGACCTATAAGGACGCTACACATTAAGCCATCCACAGCTATTTATGTGAGCTCAATCTAAACAGCCGGACTATATTAAATACGATGAAAATATAGTGCTTATTAATTTTAAATTCAGCATCAGGATGATATCGTAAGATTTCTTTTTTAGTAAGATTTCTTCTTGGATCGGAACATTGAGTCCGATCAGAGGTAAGACTGGCAGTATCGAAGTTATGCCCTCGCAGGTACATTAACAGATTGTGACCTTAAATATGCGCTAAGAGATTCAATTAAAAATAAATATTCATTGCCGTTTCGCTCTCGTTTCACATTGATATCCTGATGGAAAGAGGTACGATTGAGCAGTTCGAAACGTGACTTTCGGGGCCATGAACAATTTTTAGTTGGGTACTCTCCATGTTTACTACCACAAATATACCTAAATACTAACACGCGATAAGCTAGTAAAGATTTGAAATAGTCGCCTTAATGTCTGTATTAACACAAGATAGCGTGCTACACAGTGGGTGCCACAGCAGCAGTGGGCGTCACAGCAAACGTATTAATGACGATACTCCTAAACTAATAACGATCGCAATTAAACATAGATTTTAACGATGATCGCAGACGTAAACTACGATCGTGTGTGTACTATACTCTGAGTAGTCATGGTTATAGCCTTGCCACTTGACAGGAACAATAAAAGATACAAGATAATAAATAATAAAGATGGCAATAAAAGATACAAGATAATTAGTAAGAAATGTATTGACTTCTGTACAGCCCCCGGGGTGAGGGGTAGGCAGGAGGGGCGAGAGTGGCGCGGCTCCAACACTCAACCGCAACCAACGTGTTATATCACTCAGATAAATAAATGCGTAACATTGTCCAAATGGTGACACGCTTTCTTACTCGCCAGCACGAGCAGAGACTGGATCAATGATTTACGAAAATTACGTGAACGGCCTTTTGCCGGGCCAAAATGGGTCAGGATGACACATAATGGGAAATAGTGCATCACCATGAGGACAAAGTCTCTCTTATTTCTCTGAGTGTATGAATGAAAATAACAGTTCAATGCAATGAAAAATTCAACTATCAATGCAATAATCTCAATTAACTATTCGTCGTCAGATGTCGATAAATGGGCAGAAAAACTTACACACGTCCGTCGTCGTCCGTAGCTTCAACCGGCGTCCCAACATTGGCCCTCCCTTATCCTTAACCCTACTGCCACTGGCAATAATTAAACTCTTTTTAACGAAACGATCCGCAAAATTTACCAGACTTGCCGACACTGTGGCATGACAATACTTGTTTTCCTAGTACTGATATATTGCGGAATTTTCAGTTTATTAATAACTTATCGATGTTGATGGTACTTTATGCAGCTTTGAGCCGTCGACCAAACTTCAGCCTTAAATAAAATATACGTTTAAAAATTACTTTTTAAAGACAACACTTCCAAAGAATCCAGTATCTCCAATCTTACAGATGTACAATGAATTTCTCATCTAATTTTCGAAAATCAAAAAAATTACCTTTTCAATTTTTTAAATATATATAAAATTTTTTTAATATATACATTTTTTTCAAAATTATTTATTCTGTCAATTGATTCGTGCATTGCCTCTGATTTCACACCAGTGTGCAAAATTTCAGATCAATTAGACAGGTAAAAGTGTGTCAAATGTCAGTTATAAGATTTGTAGCTGACGAAATTATTTTTTCAATTTTTTTAATATTGAAAAAAAATTTTTAATTTCTAAAATCATTTATTTTGACATTTGATTCATGCATTGTCTCCAACTTTACACAAGTTGGCAAAATTTCAGATCGATAGGATAAGTAGAAGTGTATTAAATTTTGATTACAAGATTTGTAGCAGACAGACAGACAAACAGACACGTCTCGGACAAACAAGAAGTGAAGTTAAAGAGAAGTGTTGTAATAATAAAAAGGCATATAAATCACTAATGAACTGAAATCCGCATTCATTATCAATAAGTTCACGATTACCATATATTGTTAGACTCTTTCAATGTACTTCATAATATATTCAAAATATGGTAACAAATTTGACCTACCTACGAAAATTAAGGTTGTATGTATACATTGCTACCGGTATAATCTTTCTCAAAATTACCGGCATAATCATTCTCCGATGAGCTTCCGGTCGGAAACTTCCGTATTGCTGCTCAGCTCCTTGCAAACACACAATACCTACTTCCAAAAAAATGGAGCTTCTGGTCTATCATAATCATGTCGCCAGTCGCATGCACGAAGCAAATAATAATATATTTAATTAAACCAAACAATCCTTGATCAAGAATCTTTTTCCCCTCAGGGGGGACTTCTGACGCGTGTCTGTGCTCGTCAAGAGTTCTATGGGATTTCGCGTTCCTAGGGGGATTGTTCCTGAGCGCCCCACCGCTGAGCTCGCGGTGTCTGACCGTTGGTCTCAGTTGTGGGGTTAAGTTATTATGTAGGTAGGATTCCTTACAAAAAGTTATTATGTAGGTAGGATTCCTTAAATTTCCCTTCTCTGTCTCTCTCTTGCGGGCGGCCGACGTCCCGTGTAAGCGACCTCTTGTTCGAGTGTCTTCGTTTCTGTTGCTTTTCACCTGTCCCTCCTTGTCACTTCGTCTCTTTGAGAAGCTAACGCTGCTTCTTTCGAGCCAGCTTCAGCGGGCTCGACATCTGAGACCTTCCGCCCCTTGTGGGTGATGAATAATTGAGACCTTCCACCTCTATGGTGATGTTCATCTTGACTTTCGGTGCGAGATAGTTAAATAGCTGAAGCGCTAGTAAACATTTGGCCACTAAACTAACTAACTAACTTGATCAAGAATCCAGAAGTCGCATAGCGCCAGTATCATCTGCCAACACAGGATAAAAATCTATGATAATTATAATTAAACAGATCACGATCAAACTTCTAAGAAAATATATACACCACCGGCCCTCCATCATTCACGGTACCCGGTTGAACGCCGTGCCTCAACACTTGGACAAGAGTCGGAATAAAGAGTGCGCAGACCATGACAATGTTTTATTCAGTACGTGTAATCAATCATGTGGAATACGATCAGTAGGGACTTTGGGTCCGCACTGCGATGAAGGTCACACATAGAAACACATGCAAAAACTAGTAAAATCCCCACCGACGTTCCTATAAATAACTATAAATAAATTTATGAACTATAAATGATGAACTATAAATAAATTTATAGTTCATCTTTTACGGACTCCAAAAAAGGGTAATTGCAAGCAAATAAGCAGCATTAACAGCAACCTCAGTATTAAATGATCAATTTGTCAACTTGCAGTAAAACTGACAGGATACAAGCCAGCAAGTGGAAGCGAAATTAAGTATTTTTCTTCAGACAGCATTATTCGGCGGCTATCGTTGAGGATTATCAGGATTAGATACAAGGGTATTACTTTAGATTAAGTGCATCCAAAATAAGGGTGTTTTTTGGGGTGTAGATTAAGAATCTAAAATCTGTTTTTGGCGGTCGGCATCGGAAATTTTTAATGGAACCTGTTCCTAACTGGACCTAACCTGCGAGATTTTCGTTAATCGGCTAGGTTTTTTCTGTTTGGAGTCCGTCCGGCGGCCGGAAAAACCTAGCCGATCAACGAAAACCTCGCAGGTTAGGTCCAGTTAGGAACAGGTTCCATTAAAAATTTCCGATGCCGACCGCCATAGAACGGATTTCAGATTCTTAATCTACACTCCAAAAAACATATAATTATAAAAAAACATCCTTTTTTTGGATGCACTTAATCTAAAGTATTACCGATACAAGTTATCTTATTATTATGACACGCAATGAATATTCTGAATTATACGATACGCAATTCATCAAACCGCGAGAGCCAAGATTTTAGTCGTTACCTACTAGTTTTGACTCAAAAAATTCTTCTCTATGGCAGTGATATGTGTATTAATAGGATCAGAATTCAAACATTTTCCTAGATATACGCTCTCAATATTAAACCTTAATTACAGTACGGAAACCGTAATCATCTAGTGCGGTTTCCATTACCTTAAGACATATCCTGAGAGTTACTTTAAAAAAATTAGAGAGGGGGACTAATTATTGTTCCATTTTTATGTCGAGGTAACGCCATGGATTTGATCACAAACTTCTACCTAACATGCTTCATCTGACTCGAAAATCGCTCGGTACAACCGAACGTGAGGCAAAAGAATATTTTACCACACGATGGTGTAGTTCTATTCATCATAATTAACAAGGTTTTGATGAAACCTTTTCAACAGACTGTTAACGTTAAGAACGGTCTCTTTAAAAGACTGTAACATTATATAGTAAGCATGTTTCGAAGGCATAGTTAGCTATGAAACGTTGCTATAATTTCACTAGAAAATTTTAAACGAAAAAAGGGAATGGACATCAGATATCATGGGAATGAAATAGGAGAAGAATTTACGAGACGATCACATGATGAGCGCTATTAATATGATGATAGTAATTAAAGTTTCTAACAATAAGTAAAATTGATATTTTTTCTAATAGTCTTATAAACGCTATTGTATTAATTCAGCAGGTCAAGTGGTCAACATTTTTGATTTATGAAGAAAAAAGATTTGCACACAAACTCCCAGACAGTGTAAAATATTTGAAACATATAATTCTTCGAAGATATGCACTACCAGAAGAAAAACTTCAAAAAAATCATTTCTTGAACAATAAATTCTTTAAAAAATTTAGTTGAGGTTAAGTTTCTATCCGAAAGTACTATTGGTCTATGAAATCTACGTCTTTCTGAAGTGTAGGGCCATACTGAGTTTTATTCAGGTACTCACTGAAACTACTCGGAGGATTAAACACGGTCAAACTCATTGTAAAAAATGAGCACCCCAATAAGACCGTTCATCCTACTTAGGTTGTTTAGAAGCGTATTAAAAATTGAGTTAAGTATTAATACTGCAAAAACCATGCCATCAACAACATAATGGAGGCAAATTACCTAAGTTATCGGATTATAGATTAACGTCGACCTTTCCAGCCTGTACTCAGATTTCAGTGATGCAACGTTACTTCTACACAGCTGGCCTGTTAGGAATGTAGCAACCCATTGTTGTACAGTAACACATATAAAACCATGGTCGGCTTCCAAACAATATCACAAAGAGAGGCTTGAACTTAAAATTAGTGAACTAAGAGTATAGTTCAAATGTTGTCCGAGTCATCATCTAGACTTCAGACCAGTATCTCCTCATAGAAGCTTGTAAAATGCAGGGCCAGGGAATGACGCATCAAATCAGACCCGCCACGGGTTATCGCTGGCGTGAATAAGCTGTACTGCCTGGTCGTAGGCGTCCATGTCTGTACAGAAAATAAATTTAAACAGGGCTAGATTCGGTGAGTATAGTAAAATAAATTCATTCTCATAATGCAGCAAACTGTAAAGATTTGCACTCGCACAGTGAGTGTTATTTTTGCACATTAAGAGAAGAGACAGATCAACGGGCATAAATGTAGTAAGATTTATTCCTCATTGATGAACTTTAAACCAGCAATCAGAGGTTATTACCGTCTATAAATGTCCATATTTTAACATTTGTTTTATTAACAAAGTGGTTTGGCTGTGTTTATATATAATTACCATCTGTGCCTATGGTGGTAATTGATCTTCTAGACCATGGTAGTATGACTGGGATGGAACCGTTCAAGTGTCTAAAACATCTGTATATTTGTTTAATTTTTGGCATTTCCCACGACTTTTACCATTGTATTTATGAACTACACAATTTTTTTAGCTTAGGGCTTGGTTTCCACAGTCTATTATGGCTCCTTGACATTAAAATAAATAAAAACAAATTGAAATACAATTCCGAAGGTAATTAAGATATCGAGCAAGTGGGTGGAAAAACTTGAAGTACATTTGGCTAAGTTATTATCTTAAAAAATAAATAGATAGACAGCTATATGAAGAACAAGGTCAAAATGCATCAATTTGAAACTTTCTATATCATTTTTGAATTAGGCTAATTGTAATAGTTACGTTCAAAGCAAGTTATACAACTGAGCTCTTAAATAATAAAACTTAATTATGAAGATAAGAACGGACCGAAGTTCTCAACAGTCTCGATGGGCAGCATGTAATAGGACTGGCAGTGCACTTGGGAGCCCGAGCATGTGCCGTGCACCTCCAAACAGCCTTCCAAGTTCTCCTGTAACACAATAAAAAATGATCTACAGTCAACATAATCACCTCTATTTGGTAAATGGCATATGAGAGGACGTAGTCACTGAGACAACTTTGTAAATGACATTTGCAGGGATGCACAGTCAATATGACTACTGTAAAATGGGGTAACTTAGACCATTTTTTACTAGCTTGTATTAAACTTGAATTAATTAAATTAATTAATTAAACTTGAATTGAAACATGCAAAATACTGGTCTATACTCTAGCTTCACTTACCATAAATTGCTGGCTCCTGCCTCTCATAGTCTTTATGTAATTTCAAAAAAAGTGATGGTCTTTGTTACCCCAGCTCTTGGGGTATCTTAGACCGGGTGGTAAAATCAATTATTTTTTGGCAAAATAACTCCAAATAACTCCAGGTTTTGGTGCATTGTAGTAGAACTCTTCTAGTTACATATGCAAATGACAAACTTGAGGAAAGTGTCATAGTTTGCAAATGGGGGGCGCCGCCCCATAATGAGGGAAATGTGACTACCTAATGGCAGCCCTCATGGGGTAATATTGACTGGCTTGGAAATTAAGTTAAAATTACCATATATAAGACTCTGTAGAGTCTGAAACATAAAGAAAAAACATAAAATATGTTATATATGGTAATTTTATATTAACTTCCAAGCCGGTCTATGTTACCCCGTCAGGGCTGACATTAGGTGGTCTAAGTTCCCCCATTTGGGGGCGGTGCCCCCCATCGGTGCCCCCCATTTGCAAACTATGACACTTTCCTAAAATTTGTCATTTGCATATGTAACTAGAAGAGTTCTACTACAATGCATCAAAACCTGGAGTTATTTAACCAAAAAATGAAAAAATTGGAGGGGGTACTCTGACAGGCTTTAAATAATAGCTTTTTTTCGTGGGTCACATTTTTAATTTTTTAACCTATTAGATATGCAAACTTTTTAAATCTTTCTATTGTGTTATGTAGCCTCAGTATTAGGCCTTTAATGGCCATTGACAAGATTTTTCTATGTCAAATAGTTTTTGAGGTTTTTGTTAAAAAAACGAAAAGTGGTCTAAGTTACCCCGCCGGTCTAAGTTACCCCATTTTACGGTACCTCTACTTGGTAACTGGCATATGTGAGGGCATACAGTTAATGAGACAAAATCTTGGTAAATGGCATATGAAGATAATCAAAATTTGTGATTTGATGTCAGATCGGGTCATTTAGTGGAGTAGGCACATCAAATACTTAGTTCAACAAGTCATGCATCAAAGTCATCAAAGATGTTAACCTCTTGCCTCTGCAAGGCGTGAAGTTATAATTAACTAAGGCAAAATATTTGCCATGACACCCAGGATAAGAGCCAAATTTGTAGTGGAGACAGAGATATACAAACCAATTCAGGACTAGGTGAATGCAATAGGCTGATTTGTATATACAATAATTACCTGCCTATGGAGGCTTTTCAGTACAAGGTCAAACAAAGGTCAGTGAATACCTAATTAATTATAATAATTATACCAGTGAATTTTTTAGGGAATTACGGAAAAATTCACATGTATATACATAATAAGAATATAGCACAGGAATGTTTGAGGAATAATGTCTTGACAATGCCAAAAATACAAAGTCAGCATGCAGTCAGTCAATTCCTCTCAGAAGCAGCTTCACAGCTGTGTTTTAGGTTAATGAATTTCTGTTCTCTTAGGTAGTTTTGTCAGGCAATTAATGAATCTTAATGATATTATATTTTTTTACATATAAATACGTAATTCCATAACATTATTAAATATGATAATTAGGCAGCTATTAATGGGCATGACATTGTTGCCTAAATCTCCTACTATTTACAATTTTATCACATTAGAAGTCAAATATATAAATCTCATAATTTTTTCTGGTGATTCATTTCAGAAAATATCTTTGAATATTGACTTGAAGTAGCAAATAAATAAAAGAAAAATAAGCATCAAAGTAGAGATATTATTTACCACTCACCATGACAGGTTGATCAAACACAACATTGACAGTCATGCCATCACTGGTTCTCAGAGTCACTGACATCCCATTGGGATCAACCTGGAACAATGATACATTTTTTAAAATTTAGCATAAAAATAATTGAAGATTTAACCACTACCACTAGGCAGGAATGTGTATTTTTAGGAATTGATGCAAATGAGTCACTGAATTTTGCAGATATTTTTCCTTTCCAAATTATTCACTAACAAAGATGAGCATAAAGTAAATGAGCAAAGTATTTGCGTAATAATTCCATCATAGTCTCAGAAAAATATTCATAATTATCAGTTTAGTAACTTTTATGAAAATAATTCTTGTACTCACTTTAAAAATTTTTCCAAGAATGACAACACCTTTACCACTGAACTTGGGCAGCATTGAGCCATTCACACGGATTCTTGCTTCTGATGCAGACATGATTGATATGCTAATGAATCCAAGCAGAATGATTTCAAAAAGGAAAAAATAAAGGGATGAGAAACAGATATTAATAAAAATTTTATATCCAATGCTTTAGCCTTCAGGTAGTGAAACCAAAGTTCTATTCCTGGAAGTAAAAAAGAATATATTAGAGCATTGCTTAATGCTTATTATCCAGCCAAGATATCAGATGAATGATAACTGCATATGCATGAACAATCTTGCTTTTAGTAGACTAATTAAATAGACTAGTAATAGTAGTGAGCTACAAGATGGTTAGCAAAAGTTTTTGCTGCTATTTTTATTGAAAACAATTAAACTTGGTATTTTTGTCAGTGAGCAGAGCTTCTCTGCCATTTATAGAGCTGCAAGATTCCTTCTAGTGCTAGATGAATAACCTCCTATCTAATTGATAACAAAAGTGCACAATCTGACAATCAGGCTCCAATATTCCAAATGTATAAAAAAATTTGTCACTTTGTAGCAAAATTGTTTTATTCATATGTAGAAAGTAGGTGCATTCACTACATGCTAATATTGCACAGTCATCTGTGGTTTCTGTGCAAATTGATCAGATTGAGAAAGTTCTGCACAAATGACTTGGATCATTGCTTTTAGGCAAGTCTGGAAAATTGAATAGAAGCCGCATATGAATTAGACAAAAATGCCCTAGCTTGTGGATGTGGCCAATTTGATGGTTTGACCCATGTCCTATAACATAAGTTGTCAAACTTTTGCAGGCTGGCCGCTGGCGCTCCCTAAGCCTCCATTGGCTCCCAAGTCCAAGTGAATTCCTAATGCCCCCCGGCCCCCCCCCACGCCCGCTGACACATAATGTTCACATAACACTCCCCACAGACACACATAAAATCCAGATCTTGAATATTTAAAAAAATTTATTCTAGAAACCCAGAAGAGGTTAAAAAAACCCACATCTAGGTGCAGGTGGACTAGTCTGGAAAAGTCCTATTTTTGTCTGAAATATCGCGGCTCTAATTTAGTCTGGAAAAGTCCTATTTTTGTCTGAAATATCGCGGCTCTAATATCATATAATTTCAGTAGGTATGAAATCTCGCGGCTCGAATGTCATAAATTTTTGTTTGATTAAAAAATCGCGGTTTGCACTTCGCAAACATGTCATTTCATAAAAAGGGTAAAATTAGAGATTTGGGGTAACACGTGCATAAACTTTGTAAATAAATTCGCATTCGCACCTCGTAAATGGCTTTTCATGGCCGAGATATGGAATTCACAACTCACGGCTCGGTGAAATAGAATCACGGCTCGTAGAAATGGAATCACGGCTGGCAAATCCATAAAACCACGGCTCGAAAAATTCAGTCGCAGCTTGCCAAGTAGATATATTCCATACTAGCAGGTGGAACTGTGGAAAAACCTATAGCTGAAGCTGGGAGCCATGTTTAAGGTGCATGTCACTGATGTCAGCACTTGTTGAGTACAAATGGTCAAACAAACGTTTGAACTTCTGAATTTGACTTTGGAATGCCATCCCCTTCTTCCTCAGTCCTCACCACCTCCACCTCCAACTTCCAAGTGGATGGTAGTCATGGTTGATGGTACCACCCATTTTTGGAACCACTGTCCTATAACAACCTCAACCATCAACTAACCTTCAGGGCTCAGGCTTCAAGTTCTTCAACAGATTACAAAAAAAAAAGGAATAAAGCTTTGAAAAATACCTATAAATAATAATAATATAGCAGTATCAGCATTTATTATGCTGTAGGCCTGTTGCCAATTCATAACAATCCAGAACATGCACAGCAACAGCCTTTTGTTTTGTGGGCTTGAGCTTGCAACTCACTGCTTCAAAGTTTCTTTGCATAACCACCTCCACCTAGTGACCTGGCCTCCTACCCCTCCTTGCCAAATGCCAATTCTGACCACTGAAGTGACCAGGGCTGGGAAATGCCTGGGATCAAACTCTCATCTGTTGGCTCCAATCTTGGTACTCTGAACTTTGACCACTGGGCCACCCTGCGCCGCCTGCCTTAGGGAATCCGGAATAGGACCTAGGCTGACCTGGCCTGTGCCCAGGCCCCCAGTGGGCACTGGTTAAAATGCTGAGAAATAATTACAATTTTGTAGTGGAAGGTGGAGAAAAATAAGTCGGTTGACTTTCCTTATTGTTACTTCCGCGGCAACGTTTCACCCACACCAGTCAATACCGTTCCTCAGTAAGCTCCTTGAACTTGAAGATGAAGAATTCAAGTTAGAATTCTTGATGATGATGATGTCTTTTTTCAGGCGTCGTAAAGGACCCCAAACAGGTCAGTTGTCACACCTGGACACGGCAATTTCAACGCTTCTTTTCAAGTTTGCTTAGTCGTCACTGGTTTCTATGATTTCAAGAGCAGTA